TAGCAGGACATATGAGGGTCTCCCGGAGGTGGTAGTAACTGGTGGGTTTTTAGCTGGATTTATGCTGCTGTAAGCAGAAGGCATACTGATATTAGTACAGGGAGTCCTGCTTTAAGTGATCACCCAAGGCACCCACAAAAAAGGCATGGTTATAAAATGTGGGCTCTCCCAAGGAAAGCAGAGCAGAATTTGATTCAGATTCTTTAAAAGCTAAATGACATGTCAAGATTTGGGCTCTACAGAAGACGGTGTGGACTGCAACCAAGAGCACATCAATCAGCAAACAGCCCAACCATGCACAACAGATTGCTGAATAGGGTGGTCTCGGATACAGCCTTCATCATACAATCACATATAACAGAATCACACCATAACTGCACCACGGTGGGGAAATCCAAGCTCTCTCGGCTTGGGTCTACAATTGTGAAATCGAGTCCCACGGTTTCTCTTAGGTTCATCTACCACACGCCTTCTTTTGCTGCTACTGCTGTTGAGGATAAAACAGAATCGAGTCTGTCACCGACCAGCCTGGATCCTCCGTGATCGCACACAGGGGGGGAGGAGGAGGGGGGGAGGGGGAGAAGAAATCAAACTGGCCCTTTAAAAAAAAAGGGGGGGGGAAAAAAAAGAGGAAAAAAAAGAGCATTTAAACTGCTTGTCAGTCGCCTGCCTGACAAGGCCACTTGAATGTATTCAGGAGTATTTGCATAAACGCTCACAGTGAGTTCACTGTAGCTGCTAGCGCTAATGGTACATAAAGTAATTTAGTCACTTCTCGCAGGCATCCTGTCAGAGTGATGCGCACCCCCTCTTTGCCTTGTTGCATATTAGATCATTAGATAATAAAGTGTTAGAGCATGCAAACTGACAGGGTCTCCGGCACTATCATTTTTCGAGGGCACTGCATTCTGCCAGAGAGGAAAAATAATAGAGAAACCGATGCTGCAATTGGCTACCAATTCAGTACAGACAGCCAGAGAGGTGAAAAATCACCTTGCAGCAATGTTGGAGTTTGCACAAGAAACTTTGCAGACCTGCCCCCGCGCAAGAAATCCTGAAAGAGTCCCTTCAGGCCTGCGTGAATGCTGCTTCTTACATACCCCTGCACTCTCAGCTTGGTCCTTAAATGATTTTGGAAAGGCTTTCCCTTCCCTATGTACAGCCTGGGAAGAACTAGAAACAGATATAGTCTCCTGATTTTGTCTATTGGCTCTTCTCTATACATCCTACTGCATATGTATAATTTAGCAAGGTCAACCACACCGGCCGCATGGTTTACCAGAAATATCAAACAAGCAAGGATGCAACTGTTTGTGAATTTTAAAAAAAAATGATAATTATTGCAAACCACAGATTACTGTGGCTTACCTTATTTATACCACACTGAGCTGTATAAAATAATTAGCCTGTCACAGCTATTACTTTTGAAATATAGATATATTTGTTTGAAAGATGAGTTTTATTAACCCTGTGGTATCAAGGACGACAGTGTGCACATGTGAAACGGAGAGCTGGGTTTCTACTTATATGCAAGGAGATGAGCCATTAAAAGGAACTTGCCTTTTACTGTCTGACAAGCGGGATATAAATAGATGCGTTGGATAACCCAAAAATAATCCAGGCTACCTGCAAATGAAATGGTAAATACTGGAGTGTGGGGAAACCAGGCTCCAGAGTGGCTCAGGAGGTAAAGCCTTCTGCCCAGCTCTGCTCTTAGACACCCAAAGACTCTTTTAGGTGCTGCACACAATGCAACTCAATGTTTAAAGCAGCGCTTCCCAGCATAGGCTCCCAAAGAAAAATGTAAGGTTAATAACATCTCACAAAAACAGCAGCAAGCACCCACATGACCACCTCGACCCTCGACTCCCAAGCAAATCAAGCCAGGCATTCATCACGGGCTGGCCAGATATTTGCACCTAGGTTTGAAATGTCTATATAGGCACATGGGGGCATTTATTCGGTGGAGTATGAAGTGATATTCTTGCAATCCAAAACCCACAAGCCAAGGTGGCTCAGACCAAGCGGTCAGTGCATCTACCAGGGTAAGGGACTCCCAGGAAGTTCAGCTACCCCCCGGCAAACTGTTGACATTATTTAGATGGTCTCTTCCCCCCAGTACCACTGAAGACAGGAGATACTAAGAGACTGAAGATAATCCGGGCTGTTGAATCAGAGGTCCAGAAGGAAAAGGAAGAGGAATGCATTTTGGGAAGAGGACAGTGTGCAAGCCTGACCTAGGGGAGAGAGCTCGACTCTGTTTCGGGAAGACGGCTGAAGTTCTTGGTGGGTTTCCAAAACCTTGGTGGACATGCACACAACTGAGTCTTCATCCACTGTTGCATTAAGTTGGATGCTTAGGCAACTCACAATAAAAATACCTGCTGGCTTCATTGCTATCCCATGCATATGGGGGCTGGGGCACATGACTGGTGAGGAGAAACTGAGGGAACTGGGCTGATTGAGTCTGCAGAAGAGAAGACCGAGGGGGATTGAATAGCAGCCTTCACCTCCCTGCAGGGGGGCTGCAAAGAGGATAGAGCTGGACTGGTCTCAGTGGGGGCACATGACAGGACAAGGAGCAATGGGCTCAAGTTGCAGCAAGGGAAGTTTAGGTTGAATATTAGGAAAAACTCTCTCCCTAGGAGAGTGGTGAAGCCCTGGACCAGGTTGCAGAGAGATGGTGGACTCTCCATCCTTGGAGGTGTTTAAGACCTGACTAAACAAAGCCTTGGCTGGGATGATGTAGTTGGGGCTGGTCCTGCTCTGAGCAGGGAGTTGGACTCGATGTGACCTCCTGAGGTCCCTTCAACCTTCACTGTCTCTAATTCTTTAATATAGAAGTGCACAGAGTTCAGCAGTCCTTGGAAAAAATGGGTTTGTAGAAAAAGTTTTGCATGTCTAAAGGGAAAGTGTAATTTCCTAATATAGTGGTCACCACTAAAAATGGAGGCTTTGCCAGTGGTTTCCACATAAGATGCCTGCGAGGTGTCTGAGAAGTAGATTAAATACCCTTCCCCCAACCCTTAATCCAGGAGATAATTGTGCTGACTGTGTGGTATCTGTTGTCAGATGTTGACTTCTAATGGCAAATACTGTATGTAAGGTTTATCTGAAAATGTAGGCATAATTGTATCATCAGAGATATATCCATGTGAGTACTTTTCCTAGGGAATGGGGAAGACATGTTGGGTACATCAAAAAGAGTTGGCATGACAGTACATAAGAAAACAGGAATATTTACAAGCATGAGAAAATAAGCATTCATTTAATTGCAGGTATGCATGAAAGAGGTCTTGTTGGAAAATATAAGGTAGGAGGCTAAGTCTTAAATTGATCTGAAGATTGAGTGTGTCTACATGCTCATTAATGTGCAGTAGTTACTGCGCATTTAGATTACTACTTGCTTAACGAAGTACTAACTAAATGTGCAGTAACTATAGTTATTGCACAGGAGCACTGGTGCATGGGTTTTTTTGTGATGCTTACTGCGCAGTAGCTTAATAACACTGCACGATACCGTACGAGCACGGGTTTTGACCAGCACGCCATTGCGCAGTAAGCGTCTCGTGTAGACGCGTCCACTGTAATTTACATTATAAAGATAGCAAACTTGAATGGGCTGAAGTATCCTTGCCTTTTGCTAATTAATAAAAGCTCAGTTTGCACATTCCTTACAAAAACTGAGAGAAAATTATGATAGTGGTTGGTTTATTAAATTAGGTTGTTGGCAGGGATAAAAAAAAAATCTATAGAATGAATTATGGTTGAAAATGGCTCATCGCCCACATAAAAAGTTAGAGCTAAATAAATACAGATGTAAGTTATGTTTATATAATGAGAAATGCTGCTGAGCTTTGAATTTTAGGTTTGTAAGTGTGAACTACAGCCCTAAACATATGTCCGTGCGCACAACTTCACTCTTGTGGGTAGCCCCACAAACTTCAATGTCAGTGTGTATGCGCCTTAACTGAAGCGTGTATGTTAGTGTTTGCAGGATCAAAGCTGAAGAGCGTGATCCTCTTTCACCAGGAATTTACCAAGTGTTTAGACATTCACATATTCATCCATTATTATGGTTATTGCTTATTTCTATTAGCATACATCATTAACATCGTTCAGAGTGGCATTCACTTTCCTGGAGACAATTTTTATCTGGTTTCCTCTAATTCTGAAAAAAGATGCTCAATTGCCCGGGAGCTCCGTGGCAAACATTCATGGCACAAGCCAGCGGGAGGCACCGGGTGTGATTTTCCACCCTCTGGTCCCTGCACTGGAAGTTGAGGATATATAGCTCCAAGGAGGAGCAAGCGCCTGATGTGTGTAGAATTATAAACAGCTTCCAAGACAAAGGATAATTCTTGGAAAAGGGGCTGGGGGTGAATTCCCCTGGGTTTTGTTTTTGTTTTTTAGTAGTAGTCAGCAATTTTGAGGACAAAGAGCAAAATAAAACATTAATTAGGTGCCGGTTTTCAAAGCAGCTCAGCACCCAAGAGCTCTCATCTAGACACCTAACGAGGCAGCTGGATTTTCAAAGGGACTCCGTTCTCATTTAGGCACCTCAACCGAGCGGCCAGGCTTTTTGAAGCGCTCGGCACCCAGCCGCTACCAAATATCCAGCCCCAATTTGGATGGGGAGCACTTTCTGAAAATCGACCCACGTCCTCCTGCATGGGGAAGCTGAACTGCTTTGAAAATCCAGCCCCCGCTTTCAGTGCTGATCAAAGCACATTGCGTTTTTGCACCGATGCAAGGGACACCTTTTTGCACAAGAACGATCCTGTTCTTTCCCTACCCGCTCCCAGTCTCAGTGCTGAGCCACTGTGAAAACCCCAATTTAATTTGGGAGCCATTTAACATCTGGCCTGGAAGTGCTTTGACTACTGCAGGACAATTTCCATGAAAAGGAGGAGAGAGGAACCAAATAAATCCACATTTAAAGCAGAAATGCCAACCAATGAAAATGATATGCCTACCATGTTCCAGATAAGAAGGCGTACCTTCCGAGGGATCAAGCCTTCTAGCCCGGCGCCCGTGCTTGGAGTTGTTGTGTACAAACATGTTGTCCGACACTGCCAACACATGGCCATCAACGTTGACTGTTGTAGACACCACGACCTGTGAGCGAGACAGCAAAACGGATGTACATTTTGATATATTAAAAACAACGAAAGAAAGAAGGAAAAAGGCAGAGAGTGTAATAAAGTCAGTTAAATAAATAACAGCTGGGTGCTGTAGAAAATTGCATAGCCATTTCGCATAATAACGGGTGCTTATGCTGTACAAATCTAACAAGAGACGCTATTGATGAGTGGGTCTTTGGCCTCGAAAGCTTTTGATGCAGTTTTAAGTCAAACTGCACAGTTTGTAGCTGTATGGCAGACGGTACGTTGTTAACCATCACATTAACAAGAGGATCTTTATTAAGGGTTTTTTTCCCCCCCTGCAAATACAAGGGCGGCTGTGTTTCACCCTAAATTATCCTTCAGCGCCGGCGCTGAAGTAGATAGCACTGTTGACACTGCAAATGAGGATCGGTTCAAAATAAAAGAAAAAAACGCATTTCGTGCGGCGGAGATGAGAGGGGGGGTGTCCCCCTCCCCTCTCCTCCTCGTCGGAGTCCCCCGGGTAGCGGGACTGACCCGGCGCTCTCGTCTGCTGAGCATGCGGGGACGGGGACTTCACCGGTAAACACCGACCTACTTCTCCTTTTTATTTTCTGTGCTTTGATAGGCCCCCGCCGAAATCTGGGTCTCCTCATCCTTGGGGAGGTACAGACACAGTGATGTTTCGGAGTTGGCAATCCAGATAGATCGGAGGACACAGAGGCGTCGGGAGGGGCTGCGATTTGGCTGGAGCCAAAAAGAAAACCCAGGTCTCTGGCTCCCACTCTCCTAACTACTGGGCAACGCTGCCTCTGCCTCACTACCCCACTTTTTCGTCAGCAAGCCTTTCAACAATGCGGCGCGGCATCCCAACTCAAGCCTCGACTAGGCCGTGGGCAGACCGCCTGTTTTCCGGGAGCATGCACTGCCTCGCAGAACTTCGCCTAAAACAATAAGAAGAAATGACCTACACTTCTCCTTATATTAAACAGGCGCAGGGATTAAAACTGAAACCCACTGAGATATGTTTATTCATGCGACCTCTTACAACCAAATATAATAATTGTCTGTTAATTGCAGTTTCAGCTCCCACCTCATGCTTCGACATGTGAAACAGCAATCAGCAGCTCCTGTTTAATCCACCTATTATGTTGACTAATTAACTTTGCTCGACAGTTTATTTCTTCCTCCATTATCAGCCCCTGTCAGCCGCAAGCACACTGCCGCAAAGGGGGACCTCAGCCCTTTTGATTGATCACCGATAGATTGACATGCAGATTAATTTAATTAGAATCACCTCACTTGAGAAATGAAAGACAATGGCAAGGGGGCTAATAGATCTGCTCTTATAATGAGGCAAGCCTCCAGAGTCAAGGCAGAGGATTTCTGATTTATTTTGCTGAATTCCCCAGTCACTCTGAAAGGCTCTTGCTTTAATTGTTCTTGGTTTTGAGAGGCTTTAGCCTCTGAAGAGGTGAAATGCTTTACAAGGATTGGCAAACATTGCTTCAAGTCTCCCAGGAAGCCGCTACCTCTCCAAGTTGGTCGAATGGGGACACTTAAAGGATCACTTACAACAATTCAATTTTATCACTTGAACCGGATCAAACAAAACAACACACACACGAAAACCTAAACTAAATATTTTGCAATTCAACCTATCGGTGTCCACCTAAATGCACAAAGGGCAGTTGCCAAATGCTAGGCAAACTTTGTCTTTAATGGACTACAAAAGAAGAGTTTGCATCTCAAGATTTCTGAAATGGCCCAGGAATGGCATTACTGTGGTTGTTTTCCTCAAGACCAAGATATGAAAATACAGAGCAAATGAGTTGGGAGCTCTTATGTGTGGTAAATTGGAAGGAAGCAAGCACTAAAGACTATAGGCATTAGGCAAGTCCTTCTGAATTCAAATTGAGAGAGAAAAAAATATCTATCTGTACTGAATTGCAAGAGCAGGGTTTGGACTAGATGCGACCTCCTGAGGTCTCTTCCAACCTCCTTTTCTACGACTGTAGGGGTTTCAAAATAGCTTGCCCGTTCATAGTTTCATAGTTTCTAGGGTCAGTTCCATTAACGAGAGGCAAAATAAAGCTGATGTTTTCAATAAAATAGGATCTTACAGCAAGTGATTTATAGTTTGTGATTTCATATGTCTGCCTCTAACCGCCCTGACTCCTTTGTAACTGGGACTTCAGGTCCAACTCACCACTCTCAGCTCCCCTGACTGTCACATCGGGCCCTTGTCCGCTGGAGTCAGACCCTCCTGGGCCAGGCCAATGTAGGTAGGTGCAGAAATGAAACTAAGAACTGAACATAACAGCCACCGGACTTGACCTTCCTAGACGATGAGCTACTTGAGACGTACTTCCCACATGTGGGCCCCGATCCTGCAAACACTTCGGCATGCACGCAGTCCCGCTGAACTCAACAAGAGCAAGTGCGCGCCTGAAGTTAAGCGCCGAGTGTTTCCAGGAGCCGGACTTGCAAGTTCTCGTACATTAACTATAATAATTTAGGGTCTGACCCTACAAAGCCTTACACAGAGGAGTAGCGGATAGTCTACTCCAGGAAGTAACACTGACGATCTCCGCTACTTATGTAAGTTGAGCTGCAGAGGATCAGCCGCTTCATTTTTTTCCCCCCCTTCAGGTTTCACAACCTGTTGATGTGACACATTTTAAATGACTTAACTGTATCTTCCTACCTACCTCTTGAACAGAGAGTTTGATTTACTACAAAGAGACCACATTGGGCTGGCTCTTTGGAGTCGTTAGCAGAAGAAACTATAAAAGGAATCCCCACGAGAATCTGTTTCCAGTGTCAGGAAATGCAGACAAAAGTGGTTACTCTGTCTGTCTGTCTGAAAAAAATGATTATTCATAGTGCACCTGTAAGTGGCAGCGCACGCTCTCCGCTTAATTCTTAAAATATACAATTTCATTAACACACGCTCTCTCTGTTTTGCTGGGATTTTTTTGAAAGAAAAGAGCATTTAATGCACAAAGCCTTTTCTAAATACTAATGCCCTGACTATGTGGAGAGAAGAAATACACTGTACATATTTCTTATGCATTGCAATTGCATACTTAAATTTTGAAGGGCACTTACATGCTTATAAGGTAGACTTATATTTTTAATCTGAAAAAAAAAAAACCAAAACCCCAGCACTTCTCATTTTGATTTTGAAATTATCGGGATGTGTTTAAGTTAAAGCATGTGCTAAAACTAATTTGTGGAGAAATCATAAAACTTGGGGAGGGGGTAGGGAATCAAACCAGAAGGGGAAAAAGCTCTGAGGCATCCTTAAAACTCAGGCCATAGCATGAGGGAAAAGGCAAACTACAGTTTAATAAATGATTAATGAGGTGCTGACATATTAATGTAAGCATGGGGACAGCCAGGCCTGCCAGATCTCAAACCTTTCCAAATTTTGTCAACAAAACACAGTTTTAATTTGGGGCAGACAAACACGGAAAATGATTTTGAGCTTGAGCTTCAACCCTCCATAGATCTCAAATCTAAACCCTATATCAACAGTGGAGGAGATGGAGGCATGAAAAAAGAAACGCATCGTTTTACAGCTCTGCTCCACCGACCAGCGCTATCTATCAATTGCTCTGAAAATTATTCTGCCGGCTCTTAAACAGTTCAGTTATGAGGGTTTTTGAAGGCTATTAAAAAAAACAACCCCAACTTCTGGAGGTTGGAGACCAAACTGTTCATCCCAGTTTCATACTGGGCCTGTTTATTTGTCGTAGCACATCACCTAATACATCAAAATTAAGCATCACTTGAGTCCCCATTTTCAAGCACAGTCCATTAAGCTTTGCTAACTGATTAAGACATAACGTGCTCCTTGTGTTTTCAATTTTGTCCCCTTTGCTGGGAGTGCCCTGGCATTTCTGTTTCTACCCCCGGCACCTCACAGCAAAGGTTCCCAAAATCCGACGGAGACAATTTCCAGGCCCGACGTGTCCCTTGCTGCCATCTGCTTTGAGCCACCGGTTCTGGTCCTTGGAGCTTTTCCCCCTAGTAACTGGGCTGCATCAAAGAGAGATGGGAAATCGCCTCATTTTCATTCCAGCTTGGAGGCTGCTTCGTACAGTTTGTTTTCTTCCTTAATTTGGTCACTCAAATAGTCCCTGATTCAGCGAGATGCTTAAAAAACATACCAAACTTTCAGCTAACAAGCGCTGCATATTCAACAAAATTGCCCACATGCTTAAAGTTAGGCTATGTGCCTAATTGCTTTGTAGAGTTGGGGCCCTGGCTCTCTCTGCTCGTTCCCTACTTTTTTTCCCTTCCTCTTCCCTCTCTGGGGAGGGGACCTTACACATCCAAACTCCATTATCTGGGATCTGTGAAGCATCATTTCTGCCTCTTATGCAAATTTGCAGCAAGGCACAAGTGGCGACAATTCAAACATGAGTGGCAGTATTGCGTGGAGGCAAGTCAGCTGCTTCAGCCGAGGAAGAGGAGACAATGTCAAAGTGACTTTCAGCGTTTTCATAATAAATGCCTCCTTCGAGGGGGTTTCGTGGTGACTCAGCCTCAAAAGTTTCCTCAACTGAAACCCGGTGCGTGGCCACTTGCATTCAAACCAGGACAACAACAATGCAGTTGTGGTTTCATTAATAACAATGATATACACAAGTATTTGCATAATTTTCTTGTGTGCGTTAGGGTGTGAGACAGCCAGTGTGCATCATTCCCCCATAACGTCATCTCAGTCTTAGCATCACTCGTGGGACACGGGCACTTGGAGGCCTCACCCGTGCCGTGGCTCCGATGTGCTGGGTGCTTCACAAGACCTGCCCAGACAAGGGCTTTATACACCCACCAAACCCAGCTGCTTTAGGCACTCCCTGGCTTTGGACAGGATTTAAAATGGTCTCAGCCTTGTCCTTTAAATCTAGGCCTTCGGCATCATTTCGTCACTGTCTTTGCAGACTTCGAGGGGGTCATGGCTTCACCCAGTCTGCACGCCCAGTGCACATCTGTGCCTGGTATTTTCCTGCCCTTGCCATGGCAAGCGAAGCCTGAATTTTCTGCACTCAGCGATGACCGCTGGCTTTATTTTAAGAAGTTTCTTGCTAGAATGAAAGAGCAAAAAAATCCAAGACAAAGCCCCGCCGCTGTAAAAATCGTGTGCTGGCACTTAATAGATTTCTCCAAGCTTTCTCCCACACTGTACAAAAGTATGAGTGGTGCTTTGCTCTGCTGAAAGTGATTAATTTCTTGAAAATGCTAAGGTCACACTAATTGACATGACCTGTGTAATTAAGCAGTCTCTGTTTACACACTGAAAGCTCAACTGCTGTGAGGCTGGGCTTGCATGACAGAATGTCTTTACAAGTCAAGAGATCAACAACCTTTCTTATGTCCTACCTAGTCACCTACACCGGCTCCTGATTGCTCTTCTGAGGGAACATGCAAAGGCATTACCATATGAAAATCAGCCCGTGTCTTGGCGAGCACGAAATCAGTGGCGCGTGCGTACCGCGACCCGTGCTTTGACAGGCTCCCGACACGGCCGTTCATGCTAGATCGCCCCACCGGTGAGAGCACCCCGAGAGGAAACGCCGCCTCTCACACGAGAATACGTTGTTAATAAGTGGGAATAAATCTCAGAGGCAGCGCTGCCCGGAGAAAGGAGCCCCGGGCCGGGGGTCAGGGACTCCTGGAGTTGTAATCCCAGCTCTTACGCTGACCAGCTGCACGGTTTTGGCTAAGTCCCCATTGCTTCTCTGCAAAGGAATAAATAACACTCCCCCAGCTTGCCAGGGCACCGGAGGGATTAACCAGTTCATGTTTGTACAGTAAAAGATATAGGTGTTAAGTGTTATCATTGCTTCCATAACGTTTAGCACTTATAGCTAAGCGCCGGGGCGGGAGGAGGGGTATGGAAGAAAGCCAGGGGCCCCGTTCCAGTCCTCTCGGCTCTTCGGAGACCCGTGGAGTTTGCACGACAAACCCACTGGTGCTTCCAGGCGAAGGTCGATCCCAATCCCTGGGAAAAGGCCCCATGGATCTGCCCTCCCTTGAACAGCATTGTCCCCTGCCCCTTTCCTCCTCCCATGGGAAAGTCTTCTTCCACCCCCAGACTCTACTTGGTCCCTACGCAAAACCCAATATGAGCTGGCAAATGACTGTACCAACATGAGCAAAACCCAATATGAGCTGGCAAATGACTGTATTGACATCGGGTAAATATTTCCAGCTACTACCAGCACACATGGCAGCTGCTGCTTCCGATGGATTCAGAGCCCAGTTGGACCTGGCGTTCAAAATGCTGGTGGTGGACAAGACACCACCGCTCTTGGCTACTGCTATGGACAGGGGCCACTGCAATGGTGGGGACATATTTCCCTACTCTTCCCCCCTGCCAAAATACCAAAGACCCAGCTCATGGGGGACTGCAGGATTAGGCCTTTATAAAATTCACGTTAAAAGAAACAGACGCTTTTCATGCTGCATCGCACAACAGACATGGAGCCTGCTGACGTTTTAAGCGTGCTCGTAGTCATCCAACACAACAGCGCAACGTCTCTTTGGTTTCTGACTTCTCATGGGGACGGCAGCATCTTCAGGTCTGCCCTGATCCAAACCATGAGCGCCCAGGTACTTCCCACTCATTTCTAAGATCACCGGGGGAGTCTCTCAAACTAAGAGACATTTGAGCATCCTCCAGTTCATTACCAGGTTAAACCGGGTTGGATTATTTCTCCCCACCACCAGTTAGTTTTAAAGGATGTGTAACTCACTGACCTGAAATCTCCGCATGTCCCGAGGGTTTCCTGCATTTTTTAGGCAATTCTGGTTACATTTGAGGAAAAATTTCAAGAAGAACCTGTGAAGAAAGAGAAGCCGTGGTTAGGTGTGGGCAGCATGGACAACAACCACATCACATTTTCACTCTCTCTCATGCTTGTTCCAGTGACGGATCGTGTGGGTGAGAAATATGCAGAGAGGCCCCATCCAGCAAAGCATTTAAGCACGTCCTAAAAGTCTCACCCGTTTTTAAGACCTTTGCCAGAGCCATCAAGGCTTCCGGCATTGCCCCAAAGTTACTAGCCAAAGGGCCCATGTCGGGAAAGGAAAATGCCTTCCAGCACAGGAAGGAAGTTAAAAAAAAGACATCGTTTCAGTACAGCAAAAGGAAGGCAGAAAATATGCTGGCCAAGAAACTCCCTTGATGTATAAATGGTTTCATTTTACAAGTTTGCCGTAGTGTGCAAACATCGATTTAACACCAAAATATTAAAATGTTCCGTGCAATTTAAATCTCCGTGCAACAATTAAACAAAGTCTGTCAATAAAACTGAAGTTCAGATGGTGGTTAGTGAATCTAAACAAGTCAATGAACAAAGCACTGAAGGACTGCAAAAAGTCTTGATTAAAAGGCTGATTTCATGACAAAAATGAACCGGCTGAAACACGGGGTTTGTCCTGACCATGCAGTTTGCTGAAGTAGCTCTATGACCCTGACATGCATCTTTAAAAAGAGACACTGCATTTTACAAGCCAAAAGAAAGCAAACATTTTACTGAAAATATTTCCTTCAGTGTTATGCATCAGCGGACTGTAAACTCATAAAGAGAAGTCAATGAATAACGGCGAGCCTCGGATTCCAGGCTTCCTTCTTGAGAGCCAAGGTTTATCAACCCTTTGTCCAAAATAAACTGCAGACCGGGCTCTACCACAGCTCGACTGTGTAAAATTAAATCCTGCAGCAAGTTTGAAAGCCCAGCGCAACCAGACAGAGCATCATTATATTTGCAATAGCTGTCGATTAAGCAAGCAGAAGCTAATATAGCCTGTCTCCATTTAGAATGAGGCATTGGGGGGTGATTATTTTTTATTGTTTTACTTGAAATCGGAAAGTTAATTTTTGCAAGGATCTATCCTCGTCCCCACTGCCATCGTCACCAGGAGCAGCCCAATTTGCACACGCGGAAATCATGGCAAATGTATTTCTACAAGCCCTTTTTTTTTTTTTTTGGCTGGCCTTCTTGGGCACCGTTTCCCTGTTTCGGTGCAGAATCGCGTCCTTCAGAGCCCCATTTGGTGGGCTACGAAAATCCCATCAGGCCATGGCTTGGATGGCTGAGATTTAGTTTAATTTAAGAAATAAGAGAGAGGGATCGATATGAAATAAGCAGCCGCCGCAAAACGCTTGGACGGGGGCGTGTGTTTGTGCTCTGTTCAAGAAGGGGCTAAGTCCTGGCATTTTCTCACCAAGGAGGTTCGGATATTCAATAGCCGAGAGTTGGTGCGATTTGTCGTACGTGTGTGCGTCTTTTTAAGCATCTAATGGCCAGCTGTGACAGCCTGACTCAGATTGTGTAGAAGGAGCTGTCAGCACAAATCTTGGCATCCTGAATCCAGACAACTGCTTGCCACCAGGCGACGGTTTGTACTCGTGCCAGAATGGATTTTGAGAGACAAGCAAATAGGGCATTAATTCCGCCGAAGAAAAGCGAAATGCGGGGAGAGTTCAGGATCTTACACTTCAGATGATGGCTTTTCTGTCAACAGCTCATCATTTAGTTGGTGAGCTATGAAGGGCATGGACATTAGATCCCTCTTGCCCTAAGCTGGCCCTGTCATGTGGAATGCTGGCAGCATCCCGAGACCACCCCTCCGCCAGAGATCGCTTGCTGAAATAAAAAGCCCGGCCATCTGTTGGGAGGCAAAGACGTCCCTGTCAACTGGTGCCTGGAGCCTCGAACAGGCCCTTATGTGGCAAAGTCTCTCAGAACTGCTTATTCTTTGGGGACAAGTCTGCTCTGCCCCAGGGGTTCGCGAGAAAATTCTTCAGAGTTTTCCCGAATGTAGGAGCCAAGCAGCTGACCACTTTGGCTTGCAGGAGCATATTACAGAGGGAGGGAGGATGGGAGACGTAATAGTTAAAAATATCCGCACTGATCGACGGAGTCAAACAGGCAAGTGCAGGAAGCATTTATCACGCTAACTTTACCCGGCGTGTGTAAACACTGGCTCATGGGTGTCACCTCATCAGCTTAAAGGCCCTCAAAATACCTCCGAGAGCTCTTTATGAAGCCCTGAAAAATAGAGGGGGGTTGCTTCACTTGGCGAGTGACATTGTTCTTTTGTCTTATAAGATGACGGCACAGTAAACCTACACGCAACAGAAGAGTGGACCAAAAAACCATCAATCCGGTTTCAAAATCGAGCCCTATTTAGAGAAGGGAAACCCCTGGCATCCAACGGCGTTTCATCCCAACAAGATAAAGGACACGTGAGACCCAACAAAGCAGTGCATGCAGAGCAATGCCTAGTGCGTTATAGAGACTTCAGGAAAGTGGACAGGATTTGGGGGTTTTTACGAACGACAGCACTTTGGGGAGGAACTTGCTTACACCTTACACTTCCCCTTGGTTCAGCTGAAAAAATCATCTAATAAAATACTCTCTCTCCAATCCTGCACTCCTATTTCACTGAGAGAGGAACCAACAGATGGGCTCAATGCTGCTGCTGAAACACAAAGTGCAAGCAGGGCTGTGTAGGACAAGAAATGCTCTGCACCGTCCCAAGGGTTTGACTGTTGGGCTACGGAGGAAGCATCCTGTTCCCACTCATGTCAGGGGTATGGGTCAGCAAAATGGGGCAGAAAATGGGGGCAGGATGAAACTATGGCTATCTGGCTTTGAATGGAGAATCATCTTGGCTGGAAAACAGGAGGAAAATCCTAGATTTAACTCAGATGGATTCACTCCGAGATCGCAGACTGGTCTTCACCCTTGTGTGCTTCCTTTGCTCAAGCAATTTGCTCTGCTGCATTCTCCGTCCTGAGCCCAACCCGGCCGTGCCAGCTCCGACTCCGCAGCTGCAAATCATCCCAGTTGGATCACTTGGACCAGTCCAGAATTGGGCCCTTTGCAGGCATCATTAACATCCCTACGTATAATCGAGCGATACTTTCTCATCTCCCTGTTCTTTCCCGAATGACAGGCACAAACAGTAGCATGACTACCCACAGAGGTCTGCAATTTGCTTCTGGGATGCAGCACAGGTGGCAACTCAAAGGGGTGCGGATGAACTGTGGGTTTCCAGCCCCAGTCGTCTCCTGTGGGTCGAAGTTGCCAGATAACAGAAGCCCATACTCACCCATCCTTGTGGCTAGTACATCTTCCTGGTTTCTCTCTCTCAAACACTACAGATCAAAACAATCATTAACTCTAATGAAGAAAATACTATTTAATGGCCTCACTGACGTATGCAGCTCTCAGTACTATGGTATCAATCTCTTCAAGCGGTCTGTGTACCACCACTCAGAGATGCACCCCCTTCGAATCTAGACGGTGCTTGGGTGGCTCCCATTAACACTTGCAAGTACCAACCGGAGTGGGCTGAGAGAGATATCTTCACCTGGAAACATTTCTGAGATTTCAGAAGTGTGAAGCTTGAACAGTCGTCAGCCCAGTAGCTAAAACACTCGCCCACATCGCACCCCGGGAGTGTTGAAAGTGTACGCACTGCAGCCAACGTTGGCCAACCAGAGCTTGGTTGGGACTGGGCAGCCTGGGTGCTGGTTGGCAGTATCCAAGTTTAACACACCGCTCCAAGTGAGGTGCAAAATCCACCTGATCTGAGAGGAATGGTCTTCTCAAGCTTAGTGCCAGCGCTCCCTGGCCACCTTTCTTCGGGAGGCGACCGCACTAGCTTGCAGACCGCCTGGTCCAAGTTCAGCCCTTTTGTCTTTCCTCGTCTCGCTGAGGCCATCTATACGGTCCAATCTCCCTTTTGGCAGGTCTAACCTGACCCTTCCCCTTTCCATGTCTTGTCTTCATAGCCTGTAAACTCTTTGAGGCACAGACCATCCCCCATCTGCAGTACCTAGCCCAATGGCACCCCGTTCTCCGCTGGCTCTGGCTCCTCGTTACAACGATACAACGATAACGACAACAATACAGAAAAGGATTTGACACCAACTCTTCCACCAACCGCCAACATGAAGAGGGAATGAATTAAACTAGTAAGATGATAATAATAATAAAAAAAAATCAAGTGAGATCTGAGTGGGAAGCCAGACTCTCTTCTCCATCACTATCCTGAGGGAGATTTAAGGGAACTTGAATATGAAGAGTTAGCAGTAGGATTTTTTTTGCCACTGCCACAATAAATATATCTGTTGAAGGGAAAGGAATAGTTGGAAAGGGAAGACCTGCATTCCTGATGTTGAAGAAAGGCATGTTTGTTCCCAATACATTGGAGAAACTGTTCGAGAACAGTTCATCCATGTGAAAATATGACAGCTGTACGACTGCCAAGGTCAGCGAGACCTCTGGCCAGTCAATGAGTGAGTGCTGGTTGCACAGCTTAAACCTGTCTGGGGGCAAACTAAACCAGAGTAGGCCACCATTTTCAAAGCATTTGAAAGAAGAGGGTAACACCGATGTTGGGATCAAGGCCTGCAAAACAGGGATATTGGAGAGTTTGTGCATTTGTGGGTCTCCAAAATGAGCAAAAACTGCAAGAAGCAACAACTGACACGACATCTTGAAACTGGCCATCAGACGAAAGACTTTCCTGGCCATTTTGCACGGCACTGAAACACGTGCACAAATTAATGTGTACCCAGAGGCCTACTAAGGCCAAGGTCCTACTTTTGACGACAGCAACGTCTACTGTAAGCCTAGCTGACCCCTCCTGCAGTAAAACCCGTGGGAGACGACTGGGGGAAGGCTTTGCCAGGACAAGCCCAGTAGTACTGAAGAACAATAAACGTACACTTCAAAATGTACCACTTTGGGTTTAGGTGCACGCCACCATGCTGGCCCAGCACACAAACACCCGAGTTATTTGAGCCATTTTTTCCAGTTTTCT